TATTGTATATTTGGAGCTTTTCGGCCGTTGAATTTAAAACAAAACGTTGGTTTTTTTCTGCCGCCTAAACGTTTCGACACATTATTGTGACATCTTCAGGGAGTCTATTTATTTTTACAAAAAAACATAATTAACAAACGTGTATACAAAAACATTTTTTCCAAACATACTGTTGAAATAAGTCCGTTTCCAGTGCGACTCTGTAACAGTGAGAGAGCACGAACTACATATATATGTACAAACACACAAACATGTATACTAACATGAATGTGCATAGCGGGCACAATTATTGTTAATACTTTGACTTGCCATTCGTTGAATATACTCTAAATAAAGCGGATTCCAACAGGTTATGGGCCCAGACACATGGGTCCCGCGTTTTTTTTGTTAAGTTCGATTAATAAGCGTTTTATAAAAAGTGAATAAGACGGTATCGCGCGTGATCGCCATGAGTTCCATGTACCAGATCGAAAAACTGGATGAAGGAAACTATGACTCCTGGAGCATCCAAATGCGCAGCGTGCTGGTGCATGCAGAGGCCTGGAAAGTGATCGGCGGACAGCGGCCAGCAGCAGACGCGGCGAGCTGGGATGCACTTGTTGAAAAAGCATTGGCTATGATGACTTCGAGTGTGAAGCCATCGCAATTGTGCTACCTAAAAAACTGCACAACTGCAGAAAGTGCTTGGAAAAAGCTGAAAGAGGTGCATCAGCACAGTGGTCCAGTAAGGAAGGTGTGGCTTGGTTTGCGGATGATAGACGGTGACTCTATGCCCAGCTATATAAATAAATTTTGTTCAACGATAGACAAACATTAAGCTTAGTGAGGAGCTGTGGCAGTTATAATATTGCTCTCAAGCTTGCCTAAGAACTACGAGAACTTCGTGATAGCCATGGAAACACGCGATAGTTTGCCTTCCCTTGAGGTATTAAAAATAAAGTTGCTAGAGAAAGGGGAGCGCAGGGGCAGTGAATCTAAATCGGAACATTACAGCGATCAACAGGCGTTTCAAGCAAAAACAAAGCCGACGCGGAAAAAGCGGGGAGAGAAGAGTGATATCGAGTGTTATAAGCGTGGACAACGGGGCCACTATAGAAACCAATGCAAAAACGGCACATATGAGTGGCGCGCGTAATCTTTTTACAAATTACGTCCCACAAGAAGAGGATGTTGTATTGGCAGACAACAACGTTATACGAGCAATAGGCAGAGGCGACATCGTACTTCAAACCGATTTGTGTGAGCTGAGGTTAGAGAACGTTTTGCATGTACCGAGAATGAAGGGAAATTTCGTTTCGGTAAGTCGAGCCGTCGGGCGCGGTTGTGCAGGGAGTTTCAACAACAAATACGCTATCGTAACCCAGAAAGGTGAACAGATTTTAAAAGCAAAAAAANACGGCACATATGAGTGGCGCGCGTAATCTTTTTACAAATTACGTCCCACAAGAAGAGGATGTTGTATTGGCAGACAACAACGTTATACGAGCAATAGGCAGAGGCGACATCGTACTTCAAACCGATTTGTGTGAGCTGAGGTTAGAGAACGTTTTGCATGTACCGAAAATGAAGGGAAATTTCGTTTCGGTAAGTCGAGCCGTCGGGCGCGGTTGTGCAGGGAGTTTCAACAACAAATACGCTATCGTAACCCAGAAAGGTGAACAGATTTTAAAAGCAAAAAAAAGAAACAAATTATTTGTGTTTGAAAGTAAGAGCAACGTGTGCTTTGGTGCAGCGCAGTGCCGTGCAGAAATTTTGCATAATAGATACGGCCACTTAAATTATGGCAGTCTGATAAACCTTGCAAAAAATAAGATGGTGCTCGGCATAGACAATGTGAACTTCTCAGACAGTGCGCAGTGTAGGACTTGCATGAAGAGCAAGATTCACACTCAATCGTTTCCAATAGCTTCGGAAAATCGAGCAAAGCAACTGTTAGAGCTAGTACATACTGACGTACGTGGTCCATTTGAGAAGCGTTCTCTTGGGGGCTCATCATATTTTTTAACTTTTATCGATGACATGTCTCGGCGCATCTTCACATTTTTTCTCAAGTCACGGGATGAGGTGTTTGAAAATTTCGTGACGTTTAAGAGCATGGTAGAGTGTCGGACTGGGCAGAAAATCAAAGCCTTACGGAGCGACAACGGCCGGGAGTACATAAATAAGCGTTTTGATGAGTTCCTGAAGCAACACGGAATAGCGCGTCAACTGGCAATACCATATAGCCCCCAACAGAACGGCGTCGCAGAACGAGCGAATCGAACGCTTGTTGAGATGGCGAGAAGTTTGCTTGTGCATTCAAATATGCCAGAGTTTCTGTGGGCAGGGCAGTGCAGACAGCGTGCTATATCCGCAACAGATCGCCAACTGCAGCGCTGGTTGGCATGACACCGTACGAAGCTTGGAGTGGCAGAAAACCGAATGTAAAAAATATGCGTACATTCGGGTCAGTGGCTGTTGGCCTAGATAAGACGCGTCGCAGCAAATTTGAGGCTTTGGTGGCGAATGGCACGTGGACGGTGACAGACTTGCCAAAGNGGACGCAGAATATGAGGCTTTGGTGGCGAATGGCACGTGGACGGTGACAGACTTGCCAAAGGGTGAGCAAGTAATTGGGTGTAAATGGGTGTACACAGTTAAGAGAGATAACGCTGGCACGGTTGAGCGGTACAAAGCACGTTTGGTAGCCAAGGGGTGTGCGCAGAAGTTCGGCGTAAATTACTGCGAAACATATTCTCCGGTGTGTAGGTATGAAACGATACGCTTAGTTCTCGCGCTCCCTGTTGAGCTGAAGCTATACCTGCATCAAATGGACGTTTTCACGGCTTATCTTAATAGCGAATTAAAAGACGTCGTTTACATGAAGCAGCCTGAGGGGTATGTAGACAGCACCTGTGGCGGAAAGGTTTTGCGGCTGAACAAAGCGATTTACGGCTTAAAACAAGCAGGAAGGGAGTGGAACTCCAAATTGAATGCAGCGTTGTGCGAAATCGGGTTCTCCCAGTGCCAGAATGAGCCATGCTTGTATAAGCAGGACATCGAAGGTAGCCTTTGTTTAATATTAATTTATGTAGATGATTTACTTATAGCGTGTCAGAAGAAGTCTGATTTAACGCAAATTAAATCAATGATTTCGACCAAGTTAGAATGCGTCGACAAAGGCCCACTGCAGATGTTTTTGGGTATGCAGATTCAGCGCGATGGCGATGTAGGCGATATTTCGATGAACCAGTCCCTTTACATCGAGGACATGCAGGGTAGCAACGACGCCATTGGATACCGGATATTAGGTAGCGTGCGATAGAAAAACGTGCGTGGCAGAAGATCCAGCAGCGTATCAGTCTGCAATCGGCGAGTTGATGTGGTTAGCTTTGACTTCCAGGCCAGATATCTACCATTCGGTCGTAAAATTGGCGCAGAGGAACAACAATCCCCACACTGAACATCTCACAGGCGTGAAGCACGTACTGCGGTACCTAGCAGCAACGAAAGACTTGAAACTGAATTACCGCGCGTGTGGGCAGGCGCTTGAAGGCTTCGTAGACGCAGACTGGGGAGGTGATGTGAGCAACCGAAGGTCGTACACCGGATACGTGTTTCTCTTGGCAGGTGGGCCAATCTCGTGGAAGTCAGAAAAGCAGGGAAGCGGAGTACATGGCCCTGTCGTCAGCTCCCAAAGAAGCATTGCACTTGAGGCGTTTAATTATTGAAATTGGCTGTGGTAAAACTGGTACACCAACTGTCTTGTATGGTGACAATCTAAGCGCACAAAATCTCGCTAAGAACCCAGTTTACCATGGCAGATCAAAACACATCGACATCAGACATCACTTCGCCCGAGAGGTTGTCCAGAGTGGCAACGTAGAATTAAAATACATTTCAACCGAAAATATGATAGCTGATGTACTAACAAAAAATCTTTCGAAAACAAAGCATTTACATTTTGTTAAATTAATGAATTTAAGTTAGCTTTCATGGCAACAGAATCACATTGAGGAAGGGTGTTGAAATAAGTCCGTTTCCAATGCGACTCTGTAACAGTGAGAGAGCAAGAATTACATATATATCTACAAACACACAAACATGTATACTAACATGAATGTGCATAGCAGGCACAATTATTGTTAATACCTTGACTTGTCATTCGTTGAATATACTCTAAATAAAGCGGATTCCAACACATACCTTAACCTATAATCACATAAAATCACATTAATTGTTTTATGGACATCGCATTCTTAAACTGACCCTTAACATTTAAATACATCAATACATGTTTGTTAATTATGTTTTCTTGTAAAAATAAATAGACTCCTTCAAGAAGACACACTAATGTGTAGAAACGCGTAGGGGGCAGAAAAGAAAAGCCAACGTTTTTTTTTTTTTAAATTCAACGTCCAAAAAGCTCCAGATATACAACACATAAATATTTGTTTAAATTTCTTTTAAATATCCTGAAAAAATAAAACAAAAATTCCGAATACACCAAAATATAGGTGTTGAGGAAAGCTATCTTTAAAAAAAAAAATTTCCAAAAAATATGGCCTCTAGAAAAAAAATGCATTTTTAAATTTTTATGAAAAGTGCAATGCCATCTTTATTTTTTTGTAAAACAAAATTTAAAAGTGGCAGATCGAAAGAACATCACCAGTAGCATCGAATAGATATATAATTATTTTAAAATGCCCATAATAACACGAATTAAAACGAAAAAATTTTCCATTTGTAAGGATTCATGAGAAATTTTTCAAAAGTGCATGAAATATGCCATTTTGATAATATCGACAAATAAAAAAATATGTGTGCGCTAAAATTTCAAGTAATTCGGAGAAACAGATGTAGTCGACTTGCATGATTTGAGATGGAATTGGTCCTTTATTGTTTGTATTATTTTGCAAAAAAATATCACTCATTAATCCACTAATGTCTACTATTTAATAAATTGAAATTGAAATTGAAGGGTTACTGAGGTATTTTACAACTATTATTTTTACTTAAAGGTCTCGTAATATTTTGGATGACTTTCGCGAAGCGTATTATTGGCTTTCACAAAATACGGCAGATAATGCTCGAATTATGTCATGGTGGGATTATGGATATCAAATAGCCGGGATGGCAAACAGAACGACTTTAGTTGATAACAATACATGGAATAATAGTCACATTGCTTTAGTAGGAAAAGCAATGTCATCCACAGAGGATAAATCTTATGAAATAATGACTTCACTGGATGTTGATTATGTACTTGTTATATTTGGTGGAGTAATTGGTTATTCCGGTGACGACATTAATAAGTTTTTGTGGATGGTACGAATAGCGGAGGGCGAACATCCCAAGGATATCAAGGAAAGCGATTATTTCACTGACAGGGGAGAATTTCGTATTGATTCCGAAGGTGCTCCTGCGCTCCTCAACTGCCTTATGTACAAGCTTAGTTATTATCGATTTGGGGAACTTAAGCTTGATTACAGGTAAGTTTAAATTTCTATTATTAGTATTCACAAAATGCACTGAGAAACAGGGGTAGTTATTATTAGCTAGATTTGGTTATAGTACCCGAATTACATAGTTGGTGAAAGCCAGTGCCTAAAAGAGCCTTTCCAATGGCTAAAACCGCCTTTCCGCTCGTCCACTTCACCTTGTGCGGCGAATCAGAAAAAGTATGCTTGCGCTTAAATATTGGGGTCGTAGGAAATTTCCAAGTGAATTCGGGACGTCTGGCGACTGGCGAATAAGGCTTAACTGTTGGTAGCGGAAATTGGCATTTTAACATGCCTCAGTACAAAACAGGAAAGAACATTGGCTGTCAAAATTAAATATGTTGTTAAAAATATCTTTCAGAAATAAGTACATAAATTGTCCGTCTGATAAATTATGCTTTTCCTAAAGATAAAATATTAAAAAAGCTACCAAAAAATAGAAGCGTTAACCAACGTTGACTCTATTTGATTAATCATAGAAGTTTCATCGTGCTGTTATTATTATTGGTATTCAGTCTACAGTCTGGTTTCGTGAAACTTATAAAGAGCTATTTGAGTGAAAGGCTTCAGAAAGTAAAAGTCGGATACAACTTTTCTACACTTGTACAGATCTACTCAGATGTACCACAGGGATCCATCTTGGGTCCTCTGTTGTTTAGTATTATTATAAATGACATTTTCACCACCTGTTCCCGTGCTCGCTTGCATGCTTACGCCGATGATGTGCAACTGTATCTCTCTAGTAGGTTTGGATTAATTCAGGATGTCTGTAACAAACTTAATGACCATTTAAACTTTATTCTTGCATGGTCAACGAACAACCGTATTTCTCTTAATGTCCAGAAGTCCTGCTCTCTCCCAATCTATAAAGGTAAGATTTCGGTATCTCAGATTCCCCCTTTACATATTGGTACAGATCAGCTTAAAGTTGTCGAAAAATTAAAAAATCTAGGGTTCATTATTAACTCAAAACTCGGGTGTGATGATCCCATTAATGAAGTTGTTAGCAAAATCTTTTATGCACTACGTTATCTAAGAGTAACATCTTCCTATGTACCGCTAGATACGAAAAGGAAGGTGGTAACAAGCTCAATTGTTGCTTAAATTACGTACTTCGATATTGTATATAGTAAATTAGATTCACACTCCCTTAATAAATTGAACGTTACCTTCAACTCTGCCACAATATATGTATATGGTTTAAAGAAGTTTGATCACCTTTCATCTATGAGAAACTCTTTACTTGGCTGTGATTTACAAAATTTCTTAAAAGCGCGTAATAGTATTTTTTTGTTTAAACTTATGCTTAAACTGCGAAACCGGAATACCTTTATAATAAACTTCACTTTTCGAGAAGTATACGTTGGTTTAACCTTATTTTTCCAAAATTTAATTACTTATGCGCTTCAAGACTGTTTTTTATAAACGTGGTAAGACTATGGAACTCCATTCCATTGTCTTTGAAGAACTCGTTACATAAGGGTAATTTCAAAAACGTCATATTTAAGTTTTTCTCTAACAATTGTGATAATAAATAGTGGTTATAGGCGTACTCGTACTTGATCTTTGAATATGTAATTTTATTTTTATTTGAGTTTTTATTTTAACTTCTGTTTTAATTTCTATCCACTCGTGTATATCTAAAGTAAGATTCAATGTCTCCTTTTGTTAACTTTTCTTTTATGTATGCATTTTATGCAATATATGTTCATACTCTACTGTTTGCATTATTGTGCAAATTAATGCACTAATGTGTAATCAATAATAATAATAATAATAATTATATATAATAGAATCGTTCATGGGTGTCGCTACCTTTGAAGTTTACCTTCTGTGTAGAATACAATACTAAGAAATGGTAGCAGAAAGCAAAATTCTTTGCCCGATAGTAAAAAAAATATAAATCACAGTTTCAAAGTTTGTACAAAATTTAGGAAAATTGAACAAAATTTCAACTTTTTAAACTGAATCTTTACAACATTTTTGGGTATGCCGTTTTCTAGTCCATACAATTTTAGTCTAATGAAGTGCAAGTTTCATCCAGCTAAAAAATCGCGCTGATTTTTGATAATTGTTTTTTGGAGACTACTTTTGCCGTTTTTTTTTTTATATAACAAGTGTAATCTACAAAAAACGGGATTTTCTAGCCATTTGAAACTTGCACTTCATTAGACTAAAATTGCATACCCAAAAGTTGTCTAAAGTATCAGATTAAAAAGTTGAAATTTTGATGAAAATTTGTGTAATTTTCCTAAATTTTGTGTAAAGTTTGTAGCTGTGATTTATGTGGTTAAAGCTTGAACAGCATTTTTTATAGAAAAATAACAAAAAAAAATTAGCTCGAAAAACATTACGAATATTAAAAAAAAATCAACACGTGGTCATTGGTTTGAGTCACGTACTTAGGTTTTCTCTCTGACGTCAGGATTTTTTTTAAAAGGACTTTGTATTTGGAAGAAAAAGTTCTGCAGAATTATAACAGAAAAATTTTTTGGTGCATAAGTACGAATGGGTACAGAAAATTTCCTTTAAAAATTTTGTCCTTAAAAATCCTTGAAAATTTGCAATATTTATTTTTGTAAAAATTATTGTTTGAGGACTAATATATGTACATACGACCACATCATCGAGTTTCGTCCTGCAAACTTTATTGACTTAAAATTTCAAAGTCCTTTGAAAAAAATCCTGATGTCAGAGTGAAAAACTAAAAACGCAGTTTTACTATATTTGGCCCATAGTTTCTTGAGTATATAGATTCTTTCATGTGATCTGAAATTTTTTTGTTTTTGTGGCACAGTGTTATTCATAGTTTTGGAATATGTTTCATGAAAGCAAAAAATAAAAATAGTTGACATCACTTTCCTTTTTAAACACCTAGGATATCACTGACCATTATAAAGGACACTGAATGACGGCAAAGCCCAAAGTTCTACATACTTGTTGACATCACTTTCCTTTTTAAACACCTAGGATATCACTGACCATTATAAAGGACACTGAATGACGGCAAAGCCCAAAGTTCTACATACTTGTTGACATCACTTTCCTTTTTAAACACCTAGGATATCACTGACCATTATAAAGGACACTGAATGACGGCAAAGCCCAAAGTTCTACATACTTGTTGACATCACTTTCCTTTTTAAACACCTAGGATATCACTGACCATTATAAAGGACACTGAATGACGGCAAAGCCCAAAGTTCTACATACTTGTTGACGGGACTTTTAAAATGAATGATACAAAATCAGCCGGTATACCTAAGTAAAATGGGTATATGTGCAGAAACTGTTTTTCGATTTTCTCGAATAAAAATAACTGCTTGTTTCTGTTTGAGTACGCATGATCTTGTACTCACGTTTTGTTTCTATTCGACGTACATTCTGTTGATAACTGCATTTTTATGGTACCGTTAGCATTGAACGCGGACACAGGTTGCGAGGTTCATAGAAAATAGTTATATGTGCAAAATGCTTCATTATTTTCCGAGTGCTGTAGTGCAAACATCTCCGCGATCTAAGTAATAATCGTAAAAAACAGGTTTGTAAGCAACAATACAAAAATACGCTATCACAATAAATACAAAAACAAATTAACGTTTTAGTCGAAATGCCGCGTGGTACCGAACTTTCAGTTGAAGAGCAGATCAAAATTAAGACCATGAACGAAGATGGAATAAAAATAGGCGTAATTGCTGCTGTAACAAATCGTCATCGGAATACTGTAAGAAATTACCTAAAGAGTCCTGAAGGTTACAAGATAAATAAACGTAGCGGACCAAAACCTACAATAAATGAGCGGACCAAACGGCGTATTTGCCAGCTTGCAACGCTTGATATGATGAGTTGCTCCAAAATCAAGGCGGAATTGGGTCTTCAAGTTACGCGACAACGCATTCAACAAATTTTGAGGCAGGACTTGCACCTCCATTATGAGTGTAAAGTGCCTAAGCCACGCCTAACCGATCGACACAAGAAGGCGCGCATGGCGTTCTATGAAAAATATAAATTCTGGGACGACAAATTCGAAACAGTTATATTTAGCGATGAAAAGAAATTTAACTTAGATGGCC